AGAAATCCTCCAGTACTTGAAAAGAGCATTGTGGTGGTATTCATGATGACTCAAACATGACACAGTGCTGATATTACAGACAAATACTGAAATACTTACATATGTTCTTATAAAAATTATGTAGGAATTAAACATTTGTTGTCTAAACCAACAAGTATTGGTTAACCTATATTTAACTAGGAAAAGAGCACTATAAGACAATTGATCATTTCCACTGAAAGACATTTTATTGATTTCATAGTAATGTTTTCAATTTTATGTGAACTATAATCTAATTCCTAACTACAGGTGAATGTAGAAATTGATTTGCTTACAAATAACAAGTCTTCATAAAAATATAAATATTTACTATTGTGTTAAATATTTTTATATTACTGTCTGCTTTTATATTTAATTATTATGATGATCTATTTATGTTACTTGACTATTTCTTGAGGATTTCTGCAGAATATAAGTTACTGATTAGGAAAACATACAGGCTTAATTCTCTTTTAAAAAAATAGAAACTAAGAGGATTTAAAATTGCTTAAACTGTATTTTATAAATCATGATGTCAATAATAACTGAAAGAGGAAAAAGAAAGTAGGAAATAGCTAAATACAATAAAACGAAGATAAGTAGGTACTGTAAAAATCAAACATTGCTAAGATTCATCTAAATTTTACAGCCAACATTTCCAAGACATGAGTAAAAATTAAGAGAAAAACTACAAGCACTAAATATTTGAAAATGCTGCTGCATATATTTGCCCTCTTAATTTATATATATATAAGTTATATATAATATGTTATATTATATCTAAGTATATATAGCAAAGTATATCTAATTTATATCTAATATATATAGCAAATTCCTTTGGTAAGGATTATCAATTATATATAATATATAAAGCAAAAAACAATTATATGTAATATATAATTTACAAATTATATATTATACATAAATTAAGAGGGCAAATACATATATACACACATATATATATATTTTAGATACAGATATATAATTAGTTACAGATTTATGTCTGTTGGCCAGGCTGGAGTGCAATGGTGCGATCCCTGAATGCTGCAATCTCTGCAAGGCAGTTTTATTGAAGAAGAATACCTACAGGAGTTGCTCTAAGAAGGAGCAAAGGCCTAGGACAAAACTACAATAGTTCAGAGAATAACATTTACCCTGCAGCAATGAATAGCTAGTGGAGCCAACTAGAGAATCAGAGATAAGATTATACAAATATAGGGAACCCTTTCATGAGAAGGTGGCAGAGCTAAACATCAGGGAACCTTTTCAGTAAATGTGCATCTATACACACACACACATATATGTGTGTATATACATGCACATTTGTGTATATACACGTGTGTGTGTATATACACACACATACAATTACATATCTGCATGTATATATATATGCCTCTATATACACATAAACATCTCACACACACAAATGTAAGGAGTGAGTCACTTAATACTCATTGATAGTCCTTACTAAAAAGTAAACATTTCTAAAACATTGTTGAGTTAATCCAATTCCATAGCCTTGGTTCTTTTAAAATGCCGCAAGTTTCATAAGAAAGAATAGTAAATATTTCCCCAGAAATTAAAATCCCCATCAAATTCATATGCGAGTGGTATTCTGAATATTTATAATATCACAGTTTTTATCCACTAAAATTTCTAAGACTTTGACCTTTTAGATTTTCTACACACTCAGAGAAATTATTTTGTGTAATCTATTAACAGGCTACATTAGATTCCCCACTTAGCAGAGAACAAGAGAAAAATAGTGAAGAAGTATCTTTTGGTTACAAGTAAATGAAGCATCACTAAAAAATGTTCACCTGCTCTGGCATGTCACTGCCTCTTTACTCTCTATGGGTCAGATCAAGAGGAGACCTGAGAGAATGGGTGTACAGTAGGTTATTGAGCAGGCACAATAATCCAGGTATGTGTAAGGAGTACACATTGGCATCAGATACAAAGGGAAATTAAGAGAAATGAGAGGTTTTTCCATGTCTTTGCTATTGTGAATAAGTCTGCAGTGAACATGGGAGTGCAGATATATTTACTAGTGGTGTATTTCATTTTCTTTAAATAAATACCCAGTAGTGGGATTGCTGGGTGATATAATAGTTCCATTGTTAATTTCTTTAGGAACCTCCATATTGTTTTCCATTATGGCTACATGAATCTAAATTCTCACCTACAGTGCACAAGTGTTCCCTTTTCTCTATACTCTCACCAACACTTGCTATCTCTTGTCTTTTTAATAATAAACATCCTAAGAAGTGTGAAGTGATATTTCACAGTGGTTTTTATTTGCGTTTTCATGATGACTAGTGATGTTGAGAACCCATTCATATAACCATTGGCCATTTATTTGTATGTGTCTTCATTGGAGATATGGCTATTCTGGTTCTTTGCCAATTATTTAATCTGGTTATTTGACTTTTTGCTGTTGAGTTGTATGAGTTCTTTTAAATAAATCCCTTATCAGATAGAGGAATAAAGAAACTGTGTTATATATTTATAAAGGAATATTATTAAGTATTGTCAAGGAAGAAAATCTTGCCATTTGCCAGAATATGGATGAGTCTGGTGGACATTATGCTAAGTGAAATAAGCCAGACGCAGAATAAAAATATTGCGTGATCTTACTTATAGGTGGAATCTTTAAAAAAGTTCAATGTACAAAGATAGAGAATAAAATAACACGTCAGGGGTATGAGGAGGGAGGAAATGGAGAGATGTAAGTCAAAGAATACAAAGTAACAGATATGTAAGATAAACAAATCTAGAAATCTAATGTATAACATGAGGACTATAGTTAATAATATTGTATTATATTTGAGATTTGTGATGGGTGAGTAGATTATACTTGCTCTTTCCATACACACACAAAAATGAGTAACTTTGTGAGATGATAGATATAATTTGCTTCACTATAGTAACCACATTAATATCTATATGTATAACATATTGCATACCTTGAATATATATAATAAAATTTATTTTATAGAAAAAGTGTGCTAAAAAACTGGACTGGAAAAAAGAACCTCACTGTATGACATATTTCTGTCATCAAAGTGTGAGGTCATCTTTTGTGAGTCATTGCATTTTCTGGACTTCTTTGTTCTCATTTGTATAGTACTAGCTTAAGGGCTCTAAAGACTTATATTTCTAAAATGTATGTTAGTCAACTCTAAAAATGTTATGATTTTGATGATGGTGTCTGAAACCAAAGATAGGAAATACAGTTCTAGAAACCAGGCATGGGAACCCCTTATGGAAAGAAATGATAGAGGACTATAATGAGGAAATGTGGCAGAAGTAAGTGGATCGGTGCATAGAAGGATAGTTAAAGGAACAAGTCTTGCCAAACATAGATCAATGAAAGTGATGGTCCCTGTGAACTATTTTGTTGGAACAACTTTTCAAAATTACTAAATAAATTCACTTTAAAATATCTGAAACTAGTAAGTGTCTACAAGTTGAGTGGTTGAAGGAATTGAATAAGTTTTGGAAAAGAGAGGCAGAGTTTTCTTCTCATGCATTTTATTGTTCTTGATTTTGAATCAAATAAAAGTATTACCCATTAAAATTATATGAATAAGAAGAAATTCTACTTCAATAAAATATGCTGTATGATATTAAAACAAATGTTAAACAGCATTATAAAATGTTAAGACAAAACAGCAAAGCATACATACCATTTAGGACCACAGTGAAAGCTTCATGTTAGTGAAGTATAGAATGGATTCCTATTAGAGTGTATCAGTTTATAAAATTGGGCTGTGATGAGAAAATTCATGATGCCAGCTGTAAACAAAACCACAGAAGCTATTTGATTTTGTGTCATTCGTGTTCCCGTTCTTATTGACACAGTACATAGTGTTTCAACAAATACATATTTCTAACAAGATCCATGACATTGAATTCCATGTTTACAGAAAGATACTTTGAAAGCTCAATATTTTAAAATAAATATGTATTTTTTAAATCTGGGCACTAGACTGGGCACGGTGGCTCAAACCTGTAATCCCAGCACTTTGGGAGGCCGAGACGGGCGGATCACAAGGTCAGGAGATCGAGACCATCCTGGCTAACACGGTGAAATCCAATCTCTACTAAAAAAAAAAAAAAATAAAATTGGGGAAAGAAATACGAAAAACTAGCTGGGCAAGGCGGTGGGCGCCTATAGTCCCCGCTACTTGGGAGGCTGAGGCAAGAGAATGGCATAAATCCGGGAGGCAGAGCTTGCAGTGAGCTGAGATCTGGCCACTGCACTCCAGCCTGGGCGACAGAGTGAGACTCCGTCTCAAAAAAAAAAAAAAAAAAAAATCTGAGCACTACTTTTAAATGTATAAGTACTTATTCCATATGATTTCATTTCTTGTTACTGAATTTTAATGAGAATGCTTATGTTATCAATATCTGCAGGGTTTTATTTTGCTTTTTAAAAAATTCATCAAAGCAAGTAGGTATATTAGAGAAGAGAATTAAAGGAGCTAAATAATCATGCCCATCCTCATCCTCAACTGGATCCTCTTTCAAGCTCAATTCAATAATTACTGTAAATATTTATCAACCTTCTCCAATTTGTTTAATGTACATGCTACACTATATTTTTTAGTGAAAAGCATTTCCAAGTTCCTTTTAATTTCTCCACTAATAATACACCTTGGAAAAGTTTATGATTTATAAATTACACATTACAGTGAATTGTTTAATACCTACATTTTATTAGGCCACCAATCTATATGTTGAAAATTCCATAATGCATATGGGAATTAGGAATATTTTATATTAAAAGTTACATTCTTTTGCCTGAAAAAAAAATAAAAAACAAAAAAATACATTACTTTTACAATTAAGAACAAGGAGGTGAATTGAGCTTTCATTTTGTAACAATGTCTTGCTTGGTAAAGAAAGACCGCTTCATAGAATTGAATTCATCCTGAATAAGACCACAGTCTTAATTTACTGTATTATGTTCTCTTTAGGAACATTAGTCATCCAGGTGACAGCAAGTGATGCTGATGACCCTTCAAGTGGTAATAATGCTCGTCTCCTCTACAGCTTATTACAAGGCCAGCCATATTTTTCTGTTGAACCAACAACAGGTATTTGTGAATGAAACAAGCAAAGTTTAACATGATTCTAAAGAAGGCAATTGTCAGCAAAACTTATCTGCTTAGAAACATGTTTAACAGTAGACCTGATATGCCAATACATAAAAAGATTGCAATTCCTAAGCATTTAATTACTTTTAGTCTTTTAGCTGCTATTTCTAAGGTTAGGAAATTGGATTTTCCATGTCCGTAGCACAAATTACTTGCATATGTGGTTTAAATCATATAAAAGGATTCCTTTAAGTGAATTAGAAAAAGAGACAAGCAACCCAATTTAGAAATAGAGGGAAAAGGCTTTTATAAGCAATTGACAAAGAACAATATTCAAAAGCCAGTAAGCATATTAAAAATGCTCAGCCTCATTAGTCATCAGGGAATACAAACTAAAACCACAATAAAATACAGCTGCATACCCCTACAGAATGACTACGTCTGAGTATGAGGCTAAGTGTACAAATTGTTATGAGACATTCACCTAAAAATAATTCTGTATTTTACATATTTCTGATTTACATGAATGCAATATTTGATTCTTTTTCTGCATTGCTTTACCAATTTGCATTAATCAATTAAATATAAAATAAGTAGAACACATGCTTTTATCTTTTCTTTAAATAATCATATGACCCTAATTCATTAAACAAATATTAATTGTTATGTTCAAAACAAGTATTAGGCCCATATAAATTTTTTTCCTTTAGGAGTTTATAGTCTCCTCTGATTTAAAAAAAAGTATATAACTAATCATCCAAGAACGTGAGAAGTGCCAAAGTAGTAAAATGCTATGGTTTTTAATATAAGGAAAATATTATTTCCAGCTTATATCAAAACCTTTAAAGAATTAAAGTATTGTGTTCGATCTTTAAACATTTCTTATTTATTCACTCAGTAAATACTGAATGTCTCAGCCTTTTTCAGTTAAGCTTTCTTTAGAGAATCTGATCCTAAAAAATATTATTTGTGTGACTGTGTTCTTAATTCTCTCAAGAATGTACATGGCCTTTAGTTTTTCAGATGCACGGAAGGAAAATTATTGTATTATATGCAACGAATGCCTCAAAACATTAGACTTTAATTCCCTCCCACATTCAGGTCTCAAAAGGCTGAATATGTACCAAGTGTTATACAACTTGCTAGATTTATAAAGGTACAAAGTTGCAAAATTTAAAATGATATATAATAGTAACAAAAGAAAGATGCACTCATGGACTCTTCTTTCTTGGAACTTGCAGATAGATATGAAACATGAATAGTGATGTACACATACATTCCACTGTGGGTCATTATGAAGTAAAAGCAAAAAGTTCCAGTGGGAGAAAACAAGTGAGGCTGACTTTATATTTTGTGGTCAAGGCAGAACGCCCTGAAATCAGAATTTTGGCTGAGCCTGTAGACAAGGAAGGGAAAGCGGAAGATGATTCCAAGGCATGGGAAAAATTAGGGAAATTCCTGAGGTGGGAAAGAGTTGAAACTCTTAGAATAACAGGACACCAGTGTGGAGAAACACAGCAGAGAGAAGAAAGGGAGGTGTCTAGAGTACAAACACATGCTGGGGCATACCGGGCCTTCGTGACCATGTTTTCTCTCCACCTTGCACACTGACTTTTTAAATATACTGAGTAGGTTAGCTAAACTATAACTTGCATTGCTGGAGAAGAGTTGGTATGGACAGCAACAAACATGGATCAAATTACTGAAAGCATAAGTTCTGAAGTGCATAGGATCCAGAAATACATATTCTTTATTCAGTCTAAAGGCTGAGAGGAAAAGTTGAAAGCTAAGTAGGTGCAGTTAATGGGGAACAAAGACTCCTACGTCCCTCTCCCTTGAGTCACATACAGGGAAATGCTAGCAGCACTTGCGCAACATTTTCAATGCTTTCCATCGGGATTCAGATAATTGGTTACAAATGTGAAACACTTCAGTCCGCAGCTAAAATCCCCTCGTGTTATGGTCTCATTTATCTTTTAAAAATACATATAATCTTTTTTTAAAAAAATTATATTACATTAAATTTAATCCAATATATCAAAAATACTACCATTGCAACAAATAATCAATATAGAACTATGGAGATAGTTCACATTTTTTGTTCTCAGTCTTTGAAATCAGTTGTGCCTTTTATACTCATATGTCAATTTTTTTTCACAAATTCATTGTTTTTTTTTTAAAATTTACTTTTATTTTAGGGTCAGGGAGTAAATGTGCAAGTTTGTTATGTGGGTAAATTCTGTGATGCTGAGGGTTGGGGTACTAATGATCCCGTCACAGACAGGTAGTGAACATACTACCTGATCAGAAGTTTTTCAACTATCTCCCTCCCTCCTTCCTTCCCCTCTCTAGTAGACCTGAGTGTCTGTTGTTTCCATCTTTATGTCCATGAATATCACCATTTTTATTGAATATTTTGTCCGCGATATATTTGGGTATTGGCTATTGTCTATTTTTTGTGAATGTCTATGTGTTTCCCAAATCTTTAGAAATGTTGAGCCCTCTTCTATGAACCTTAGGTTCTTCTCAGTGATAATTAATTTATACTAAATAATCTTATAGAAGTTAAGCATTTATTGCAATATTTATCATTAATTATCTTGAGTTTGAATATATCATATACGTGTATATACACACACACACACACAGACACACACACGCATATAAAATAACTGTGGGTCAACAACCAGGTTTTCTTCAGATCTCATAATTCTAAGCAGGCTTCAAAATAATAAGGGCATGATATTTATTTCATAAATTTGGTATTATAATTTACAAATTTATCAATAATATACTAACTTCAGAGTTTCAGGGACAAAGTTAATTGTAGCAAGCCGATATTATGTTAGAGAAGATAGCAGAAAATAGTTTAAAGTAAAAAACAAGACATTCTTTTTTTTTTTCTACCTGTGGATTATCTTAACATAGTATTGTATTAAGGGCCTACCAGTGTTCCTAGTATTGTTCCTAGTATTGTGATGATCACTCTAGACTCCAGGCAGTGTTGACATTTAATTTATTATTATTATTTTTCTCCAGGGAAGTCTCTGTCACATTGTAGTGGTTCAACATATAGCAAAATAATGTATAGTGCAGTGGTTAAGAAATTAACTAGAACTTCATCATGATTAATAATGAAATAATTGGAATTTTATTCCCTTTGTAAAGGAGTCATAAGAATATCTTCTAAAATGGATAGAGAATTGCAAGATGAGTATTGGGTAATCATTCAAGCCAAGGACATGATCGGTCAGCCAGGAGCGTTGTCTGGAACGACGAGTGTATTAATTAAACTTTCAGATGTTAATGACAATAAGCCTATATTTAAAGAAAGTAAGTAAAAAGCATTCTAAATCTTCATTATAATATAAATATAAGTGCGTTAAATATAAGTAGATTTTATTGTTTTCATTCTAAAAATACTACATTAACACTGAAATTATGTAAAATAAATTTGCCAATTGTTCTGGTATGATTATTCTAATTCATCTTGAAAGTTAAATATAAATGAAAGAATAATGTGTTGGTTTCTATTCCTGCTGTAATAAATTGCCACAAACTTCGTGGTTTAAAACAAATGTATTATGGGTTTCATTGGGTTATGATCGAAGGATTCCGGCAGGCATTTCTCGCGGTAGGATCTAGGGGAGTATTCACTTCCTAGTTCATTAAGGGTTAGCAGAATTCAGTTTACAATATTTGTAGAGTTAAGGTCTCTGTTTTCTTCATGGCTGTAAGTCGGGAGACATCCTTAATTCCTGAAGGCCTCTTTATGGTTCCTGATTTAGCCCACACATCCCAGAAGCAGCAAGGAGTGCTACATGCTTCACACACTGACAACTCTCTAACCCACACATTTGCCTCTTCTACTTTTAAGCACTCGTGTAATTAGATTGAACGGATAAAGCAGGATAATATTTCCATCTCGAGGTCAGCTAATTAGCAACCTGAATTCCATCTGCAAACTTAATTCCCTTTGCCACTTTCGGTAACATATTTACGGGTGCAGGGGAATTCGGACACAGGTATCTTTGTGGGGTCCTTCTTCTGCAAACCATAGATAACCATTTAAAAATGACTTTTTGTATTTCTTTTTACTTTATAGCCAGAATAGGCCACACCTGCTCTAATAATTTAAGCAATTACTACAAGCTAAATATAAGCACATGGTATGCTTCATAAAATTATCTTATGCAATTGTTGGAGGAATTTCTTTTCTAGGAAATTTATTTTTCAGGTTATACAGTTTTAGCTACAGAAATACATTTATAAGCACTTCCAGAAAGCAGAATTAATTATCATGCTAGGAAGAAAATTTAATTATCATGGAACAAAGAAAGGAACCAATAAAAAATTATACCATAGCATGATTTCTTAGTTGATTATTTATACACAGAAACAAAACTATCTTTTGATTACTTTTTTTCTCATCCTTTTCTGTACCTTGCCCCCATTCCTCAAAGTCAAGTGAAATCATGTCATTTTTAATGGCCCAAGTGAAGTATTACTTTCACTGACTTCCTTCTGGTAGTTGAGTCCATGAATAAGCACAGGATGTTGGCGTCATACAAATTTGCTTTTAAACCCTGAATTTTCCATTCATTAAGTGTACAGATTTGAGAATACTGTTAATGTGTGTGTGCACACACAAATGCCCACACCTAAATAATACAGACACTACTGAGTATAGCATGCAAGGTTATTTTTGATTTTTCAATAAATATCACAAATCTCAATTTTTTATTTCTGCCCTATCTCACCATTTTAAATTTGGTCATATTAAAAAATTACCACTGTTATATGGGTTGAGAAAACAGTTCCTCTGTGGATGGACGATAGGCAAACGGGTCAGAGTTTGCACCTTCATCTCTCTCTGTGTAGTGTAATGTATGATGTGTGTGACTATCCACAACATTAATGAGGCCTCTGAAGGCGAGAGGAGAACGCCAAGTTAAATATGAAATATCCAGAACTTGATAAAATAATTGGTGTATAATATGTGGGAAATAGTGACTGGATTCATTCAATAAATTTGGTCTAAATTTTATGCAGATGATGATTAAATAGCAAGTAGAAGACTCTGGAAGACAGGAAGATTCCCAAAGAACTTGTTGCGATAAAATATCCTGAAGCTTCTACTACCTTTCTCAGTTTCCCTCTGATTTTTCTCAACTTTGATATTAAAATATTTTAAATAAATTAGAATATTTAAAATATGTTTTAAAATTATCTTCGTTACTCAAATCTGAATATGAGATGATGGTCTTACTCTTAGTACTTTCATTCAAATACGAGAGTGGGTGAATCTGATACTGGCCTCCGTACTCTTGTCCACACGATTTTCCCTTGTGGGAATCCCATTACCCTCCTCTCAATTTAAATGCTCAATACCTATACCCTGTGTTGTGGGCAACACTCTCTACTCTCCCAATTAAAGGCATCTCTCAAACATCCCTCTCCCTTGTGTTAACAGCGTCCTCTGCTGGTTCATATCTGTCTTATCCAAACATATTTATTATTCTTTTTTCTCACATCCTAAAACAAAACAAAAACACTTTCGTGCCTTCACTTCCACACTCAGCTAAAGATGCTTTGTATTTCTCCTTTCTCGTTAGATAATATTTCTTTAAAATGTTGTGAATACTTACTGTTTTCAATTAATGACCTCAAAATCTCAGAACTTACTCCATTTGAGCTACATCCACACTACTTTACCAAACTGATCTGATCATTTCTATCAATAACCTAAATGGAAGTAAATGCAATGTCAATTCTCAGTTCTGATAACACTTGATTTATTGGAAGAATTTGACATAATTGATCAACCTCTCCTTGAAAACCTTAATGTTCCATTCTCATTAGCTTTTTTTTCTATCTTACTAGTCCCTGTTTTTTCATTGTTTGCCTTTTCTTCTTCTATATATACTTTAAACTTTAGAATATACGTGAGTCAAACTTTTGATCTTGTCTTTCTTCCCTTGTATACTCATTCCTTTATGATCTTAACCAGAAACATGGCTTTACATACCATCTCTGTGCTGACAAGCTCGTATTAAATATACATCTCCAGACTGAACTTCTCCCATGAGCTTCACAAGAGTACATCTGTCTACTCATCAACTTCATATATTTTATATATATATTTTATATATATATTATATATATTTTATATATATATGAAGGGTTTCAGAGGAGGGGGCAGCTGGAATCAGGAGCTCAGTTAAGTGCATATTAGGTTTTAAATGTGTATTATATATAATATATATGTGTATTACATATAAATGTATATCATATATAATGTATAAATATTTCTATATAACATAACAAATATATAATAGATTTATATACAATATACATTCACTATCTATCATGGATATAACATAATATACATATGTAATATATAATGCAAATATATTATACATATATAATACACATTTAAAACCTAATATACACTTAACTGAGCTCCTGATATATATACATACACACACACACACATATATATTACACATTTAAAACCTGACATACACTTAACCGAGCTGCTGATTACAGCAGCCCCCTCCTCTGAACCCCCTCTTCCTACAGATTTTCCCATCACAGGTACTCAAACATCCAGGTTTCATATTTTTCAAGCCAAAATCTTGCTTATTCAGTAGAAACACGACTGTTGTGAAGAATTAGTGATCCCACTCAGATTATGGTGGCCATACTCAAGTCAACTATAATTTTTCACTCAGCCTGAATTGATGACCTCTACAATTCTGATAGCTCCTGGCTTTCAACATTCTGTGAGCAAATGCACATACACGCAACACACACATACACATACACACCCACACACATACCCTCTTCCTTCCCTGCATAAAGAATTGAAGCTACTTTTTCTACGTTTCTTTTTCTCAGAGTGAAAATTTAATTCTCTGCAGATGCTATTGTCTCTGCCTTAGAAAATATCCAAAACATGAACACTTCTCACCAACTACATCTCTAGCACCTTGGCTCATGCCACTATCTTATTTTGTCTCTGTTAGTACAGTAGGCTCTCATCTAGCCTCTCTGCTTACACCATTGTTCTCCTTTAGTTTATTTTCATCACAGCTTTATAATTTTGTTAAAATGCACATCTGATCATATCACTTGAAGGTCTTCCCATCTCCCTCACAGATAAAAAAGTCCTTAGGTTGAATATCACCTAAATAGTCCTAATGGTCTGAAGTAATCTGCCATTGTCCAGTCCTGTCTCATTACCTCTTGAAACCTTAATGTTTCTATCTGCCCCTTTGCTTACTAAGAAGCCAGCACCAGGCAACTGTCCTCTCTTTTCCCAGAATACTCCAGACTCGTTAGCTTTTCCTCTTCTTGAAATTATTTTTCCCCAGATATTCATTTCCTTTCTTCAATTCTTATCCAAAAGTCAAATCTACAGTGAATACTTTACACCTTATCATTAATTTTAAACTATTCCACCAGAATACTACCTTCATATATACCAGTAGCTCTTATTTATTGCCTGTTTTATCATCAAAAATATGAGCTGATGGTGGCAGCTTTTATATATATAGTCACCTGTTCTAGCCCCAGCCTCTAGGACAGGGCCTTGTAAAAATTGTGTTCAAAAAAATAATTTTTGAAAGTATGGAAAATTGTATAGACAAAATATTGACTGAGGAAAATACTTCAGTTCTTTTTCATTTTGAAGGCCAATAGTTTAATATCAACTCAATAACATTTAAGTTTTAAACATTTGCTTTCATGTTCATGGCAATGTCCTTGTTTTCTGCAGATTAATGTCTTAGTGACTTTTAATTTTCCAATAGCATAGACAATTATTTTAATTTTTCTATAATGTAAAAAGCACTACTATATAGTCAATCTTCAACATCTGCTCTAAAAAAGTAGTAAAATATTAGCACTTTAAAAATAACATTTATCTCACTTAAAAATTAAAGTCTCAAATGCAATCTTTGAAGTGACTGCCTCCTCCATGCTTCTAAAGGAAATAGGAATCCCTTTAAAGAAGAATTTTATTATATGTGCATCTTTTTTAGAATTCTAAGGAGTTTCATTTTTTAGAATATTGCATGTTTGCTGATGCCGCTTGACACGAATAATGCCATATATTGACATGGATGAAAATGCAATTGCAAATAATAATTTAAAAATAGTGTAGTTCTATATCAGTTTTATTCAAATTACTCCTGAAAAATAAAAAAAAAAAATCCCAGCAATTTATAGTTATATTTATGTTTTTAAAATACATCTGCAATTATTTTCTCAGGACCAAATCAACTAGGTCATCTTTGACTACAAAATATTTTTTCTATTACATTCATTTACCAACTCTTTTCAATCTGTATTTCCTTGCATTTCCTCTATGGCTAACGTAATGCAGGCTCAGACCCTCAGAAGCTCTCAGAATCAAACTGTTTTTCTTGGAACTCAGCTATTTGCATGCAGACTCTCCCACCTTTATTCCACATGTATATTCATTCAGTAACTTCAGGTATCAGGAATGTTAGAGTAAAATTGAAAGTTATTTCTGTCGAATTTAATTTAGTATGGTTGAAGGTTACAATAAAAAATAAAACATGAACACTGAGGAGACACGCGTGTAAATAGAAGTAATATTGGTGATAGACTTTCCTAAGATATATTCGAGAGATGATGATAGATGCTCAAATGAGATATTAGAAAGTATTTATATTTCAAAAAAAGGGAAAGAGACTATATATGGGGGCAGAGAGAGAGGAAGGTAGAAGGAAGGAGAGAAGGAAGGAAGGAAAGAGGGAGGGAAGGAAGGAAGGAAGGAAGGAAGGAAAGAAGGAAGGAAGGAAGGGAGGAAAAAAAGAAAGAAAAACGAGAAAGAAAGAAAAAAGAAAGATTAAGAATAAGTAACTGGGAAAGGTAGGTATGGGATTCCCTAGAGATCATAAATAAAGAATGCTATAATTGCAAGTTTTCTATGTTAAGTGTTTATCCAAAATATCTCAAATTTTGTTTTTAAAGGTTTATACCGCCTGACGGTCTCTGAATCTGCACCCACTGGGACTTCTATAGGAACAATCATGGCATATGATAATGACATAGGAGAGAATGCAGAAATGGATTACAGCATTGAAGAGGATAATTCACAGACATTCGACATTATTACTAATCACGAAACTCAAGAAGGAATAGTTATATTAAAAAAGGTAGACATGTTAAAATTATTTGCCTTGCAGAATAATGCAAAATTAAAACATATCCTGTTTTGTGTAGCTGGTTAATTTTTAACTCATTAAATAATTGAAATGAGAACCTGTAGTTTCTATTTTATGGAGAAAAGGATTTTAGAGATGATATAGTTATTACAGAGCTTTTTGAATTATATGCAGAATATTGTTTTAATTCTATTAAAAGAAAACTTTTTGGAAAATATCTTAAATACTAGGAAATTAATTCTCAGTTTCATTAGATGTTTATGCCCTCAAAAGTATAATTTTATCTCCAAACTAAAATAGGTAACTGACAATATACACACAGATGTGTTATGCCTGATTAACAATTACATCAGAGAGATCCATGTACATATAAAGAAAAATCTAACTGAAAGGCCACTGAAACTTATTTTAACAGGTAAAACTTTTTTTCTAAGTAGTATCTTGGGTTACTAAAGCCATTTCTTCTGTGTACACTGTATTTCTTTGCAGAAAGTGAATTTTGAGCACCAGAACCACTATGGTATTAGAGCAAAAGTTAAAAACCATCATGTTGATGAGCAGCTCATGAAATACCACACTGAAGCATCCACCACTTTCATTAAGATCCAGGTGGAAGATGTTGATGAGCCTCCTCTTTTCCTCCTTCCGTATTACGTATTTGAAATTTTTGAAGAAACCCCACAAGGGTCATTTGTAGGCATGGTGTCTGCCACAGACCCAGACAACAGGAAATCTCCTATCAGGTATGTCTGTAAGGTCAGTTTTGCATTAATATAAAAGTAAATATAAATTAGAGTAAAAATAAAATTGCTTTCTTTCTCTCTATTTTTTTTCTTTTTGATTAAGGGGGAGTCTCACTCTGTTGTCTAGGCTGGAGTGCAGTGGTGCAATCTCGGCTCACTGCCACCTCTGCTTCCCAGATTCAAGCGATTCTTCTGCCTCAGCCTTCCTAGTGGCTGGGACTATAGGCATGCACCACCACGCCCGGCTAATTTTTGTATTTTTAATAGAGACGGGGTTTCATCATATTGTCCAGGCTGGTCTCCAACTCCTGACCTCGTGATCCACCTGCCTCAGTCCCCCAAAATGGTGGCATTACAGGTGTGAGCCACCGCGCCTAGCCTGCATGCAAATTTAAACAAGGTTATATCTGTATCTACATTTCTGTATGTCATACTTAATTTGTAACAATTTAAATAAAATAGGGAACCGCAATGTCAGTTAAGATGCAGTAAAATTGGTGATTTCAAACACGTACAAGAAAGAGACAATTACCAATTAAAATTCAGTGCATTACAATTCCCTCTTAATTGAGGAAAGGAGATAAGAGGGAAAAAAAATTTTTTTTTAAATCCCCAATTAGAGCTGAAACAAAGCTGATCAAAATGTGGCCTATTTAAGGCTGGGGGCGGTGATTCACACCTGTATTCCCAGCACTTTGGGAGGCCGAGGCAGGTGGATCACAAAGTCGGGAGATCAAGACCATCCTGGCTAACCCGGTGAAACCCCGTCTCTACTAAAAATACAAAAAAACTAGCCGGGCGAGGTGGCGGTGCCTGTAGTCCCAGCTACTCGGGAGGCTGAGGCAGGAGAGTGGCGGGAACCCGGGAGGCGGAGCTTGTAGTGAGCTGAGATCCGGCCTCTGCACTCCAGCCTGGGCGACAGAGCGAGACTCCGTCTCAACAACAACAACAACAACGTGTCTTATTTAAATATTATGTACTTCAAATGATATTCAAAAATTGGGAAAACTTTTATAGCAGTGGTCCTCAAGCTTTCTGCCACCAGGAACCAGTTCGGTGGAAGACAATTTTTCCATGGTTGGTGGGGTGAAGGGGAATGATTTTGGAATAAAACTGTTCTGCCTCAGATTATCTGGCATTAGATTCTCGTAAGGAGCTCCGTACCTAGATCCCTGACATACACAGTTCACAGCAGGGTTCATGCTCCTATGACATTCTAATGCTGCCCCTGATATGAGAGAAGGCGGAGCTCAGACAGTAAGGCTGGCCCCTGCCCTCACCTCGTGCTGTGCAGCCAGATTCCCAACAGGCCATGGACAGGTAGCAGTTCATGGCCTGGGAGTTGGGAACCTGTGTTTTACAGGATACCACTTAAAGGAGTTCAAAGGGTTAGAAATCTATTCTTGTTTTACAATTAAACGAATATTTGCCACCTATTAAAATAGTCTTATTTTCAGTTACTATGTTATAATTTATTTCCCTTTGTTTTATTTTTTGTGTGTTTTAGTATTTGAGGTATAGTCTGGTTGGGCATAAAAAAACAAAACTTGTTACATAATTATTTTTCCAACACCTTTCCTTATTCATCTATTTTCCATAAACCCTCATGTATTAATTAAAATGCTGGCTACTGCTTGGCTCTGTGAAGGTCTTCAGTAGCTCAATGAAAAAGCTCAATTTAATTTTTGATACCAAGAAATGTTCCCACTTTTCCATATAGTTCATTTCATAAAATGTTGCCTTCTGATATGCATATATAGTTCTTAATTAGTCATAGAGATTTTAGTAATTGTATAAGTGCATATCAATTATTTACTTTAAAAAATATATCTATATACCTATTCATTTTTCTTCAGGGAACACTAAATAATATGGAATGTTAAAAATGCTTTGATGATTAAGATATTCAATATGTTATCATTTATAATAATAAAGTATTGAAAACAATTTTAGGAATACAAGTGAATAAACTATAATTTATCATGCTGGTGATGCATAGATAACATTGCATACATTTTAAAGCACAATAATACACAGTGAAGAACTGCATGCTTACTACATGTGAAAATGCTACATATATATGAAGAAAAACATAAGGTGTAACCAAATCTTAAGAGGTTTTGTATTTTATAGTATCACCATTGGTGTCTACTTACTTCAGTATGAAAATATTTTAGCTAACGATTTTCACTTTTACACTGGAAATTATTACTTTTTAAAATAACTTGTATCCATCAAAAAATACGTTTTAATGGTTTCACAGATGTTTTTTCATTTAAAAGTGGCTTTAAATAATATTGCTTTTGGTACATATGTTAGGATCACTGAGGATACAGCAGTTTTTGTTGTTGATATTGTTGATATTTTTTCCATATGATATAGCTTGATTTAACAAACATTCAAAATACATCATAAAAACAAAATCAGATGCATATGAAAATATCCACTTCAGCACATTTCAGGAGCCTTCTTTTTGGGTTTCTTTGTTTATTTCCTTTTTTCTTTGTAAGCAAAAGATCCCCAAAATGTTAGAACATAAAATGCGAAATGATTTCAATTTGAGTTTTAATTTGATAATATCTCTTCTTTAATACTCACTGCATGGTAAGAGCTATGGAAACCAGAAGAAATATTAGGACATTGTATTTTAGCTTTAGGGATGTTTCTTTGTTTTGGGAGAAACACTAACACATATTAAACATAGTAAATTAGCCCCAATTCATTAAACTCATATTAGTTTTTCCTACTGAGTAAGAATCACCTGCTGTTTCTGTAAAGGATGGAAATTCCCAAACTCAGTTTCATCAAGTCTTGGGTGGGAAAAATAAACTGGTTTAACAAAATATTATTGCTGTAGTTGAGGTCGTAAAAGCTTGAGAAGCAAGATCTACCTTTATATGAATTATGGTAACTAACCATATGTCAATTTAAAAAAATGGGGCACAGAAATGATGGAAAATGTGATATTTAGACTTGAAAGTGAGATGATAGAATTGTTTTAAGGAGCCTAGTGTAGTAAAAATTAGAGGAGCCCAAACAATCTATAATAACATTTCTACCATAAAATTATTAAGAACTTTATACGAAATTATTCTTAATTTTTTTTATTTTATCACTAAGACTATGTATTATTTCAGAGGACTAAATGTTTACATCCCTCAAAATTCATATTTGAAATCTGAAACACCAATGAAATGGTATTAGAATGTGGGTCCCATATTTGAAATCCTAAATCTCAATGAAATTGTATTAGGTGGGTACAAGAAGGTGGGTCCTATAGGCATCAAGTCATATGAGTAGAGACCTAATGAATGGGATTAGTGCCCTTACAAAGGGGAACCCAGATAGCTCTCTCAGCCTCTCTCTGCCTGTCAGGACACAGAAGTCAGCAGTCTGCAACTGAAAGATGCCAATCATGCTGGCATCATAATCTCATACTTCCAGCCTCTAGAAATGTGACAAATAAAAATCAGTTGTTTATAAGCTGCCCAGTCTATGGCAATTTTTAATAGCTGTCTGTGATGACTAAGAAAATTGCCTAACTCTTTTGGACTTCAGATACAGGGATTACTCTTTTGCTATCAAGGGGTATGATTCACTTTTTGGACATTATTGAAGTTTCCTTTTAAATTAAGCCTAAAGTCAAATTTTGAAATATTTTGTAAGTATGAGAAAGATAGAGTATTCTTTCCTGTTAAAAAAAAAAAAAAAGAGCAAATAAAACCCAAAGCAAACAGAAAAAAAAAGGAAATAAAAAGATTAGATCACAAGCAGTGAAATTGAAAGCATTGGAGTAATATAATGAAACCAATAGCAGATTCTTTCAAAATATTGCTAAAGTTTATTAATCTCTATCAAGAAAGACCGAGGGACAAACAGAGAGAGAAAGAGAAGACAAAAATTACTATTATCAGAAGTGAAAAAGGGAGCACACATATTGATCCCACAGACATTAAAAAGATTATAGGGCTACTTTGAACAATTCTATGCCTATACATTTAGATGAAGTTCTTGAGAGAATCCACTAAATTTATATTAAAAGATAAATAACCTTAGCATACACACACACATATATATATATATTTACAAACAACCATATATATACAACCACATAAATATGTACACATACACATGCGTACACACAAGCATATATATATCACCAAAAAGTCAGTTAAAAACCTTCACAAAAACAAAGGACAGTTCCAGTAAAAATTGATGCCACTGATAAATTCTACCATATGTTACAAGCAAAGAAAACTACATATCAAGATCCCTCATAAACAAATATAAAAATTCTTTACAAATAATTGTAACTCCAGCTATTTGTGAAAAGGAAAGTATATCCCTATCAACTGGAGGGCACCCAGGAATACAAGGATGCATCCATATTTTAAAATATTTTCATGTAAATTACCATATTGATAGATTAAAAAAGAAAAGTCATATATCATCTCAATAGACAAAGAAAAAAATTTTGACAATATTCAAAATTAATTTATTGTAAAAACTATCAGCACAATATGAATAGAAGGGAAGATTCTTAAACAGATACAGAGTATCTACAAAAGAATGCTACTAATATTATACTTAATTATGGAATATTATGCGCTTTTTCCTTAAGATTGGAAACAAGGTAGCAATGTATTCTTTCACCACTCCAAATCTATAATATTGGAAGTCCTGGCCATGCAATAAGTGAGAAAAAGAAATAAAAACATACAAGCTGGAGAGAAATAATGTAGTTTTCTTTATTTGCAGATGGCTTGATTATTGTCTAGATAATTCCATAAAATTCACAAAAATGCCCAGTAATAAGTGAGTTTATCAAGGTAGAAAGATACAAGATTATTATAAATTAAACATATACTGAATAACACCCAGCAATCCTACTCCCAATCATTTACCCAGGAAAAAATGAAACTTTGTGTTTTGGGTTGAGTTGTGTCCCAAAGATACAAGTTGAGTCCTAACATCCAGTACACTCGAATGTGGCCTTGTTAAGAAATAGAGTTATTTTGGAGGTAAATAGTTAAGATAAGGTCATACCTGAGCAGGTATGTTTTTAATCCAAAATGACTGGTGTCCCTATAAGAAGATAGACACTGGGAGAGGACTGCCATGTGACAACTGAAGCAGAGATCAGAGCAATGCATCTACAAGCGGAAGAATAGCAAGGACTGCCAGAAATCACTGGAAGCTAGAAACGAGATGAAGGATTCACCCCTACAGGCTTCAAAGGAAGCAGGACTCTGTTGAAGCTTTGATTTTGATAACTCTCATAGAGTTAATTTATTGTTTTCAGCCACCCAGCTTGTGGTGTTTTGTTGCAGCATGCCTAGAAAACATACTCACTTATTTTGACATGAAAACCTGTATGCAGGCATTTATGGCAGCTTTATACATGACCTCCAAAAACTGGAATTGACTCAAATGTCCTTCAAGAGGTGAATGGCTTTTTAAAAAATAAACAAACAAAAATAAACAAAGCCTGTGGTACTTAAACTAAAAAGATACGACAAAGGAAAGGAGGGTGATAAAATTGTTCTGCGTCATTACGTGATGGCAGACACATGAGTATTCATTTGTCCAAGTTCACAGAATTCTTCATGATATAGAGTAAAATACTAATTAGTGTAAACTCTGGCAAAAAATCAAACAGAACTTTGGAGATATTCCTAAAATGGAAGGCAAGCTACTGCAAATGTACTTTATTATAGACAAATAACATAATCAAACGGAGAGGAATTAGGAAAATATAACCTAAGTAATTTTGGAAGAGGGTATTTCATTTCAAAATATAGAGACCAAAAAAATTGCTGTTCAGAAGAAATGTACTCTACATACTGAGTATATTTTTTTACGTGGTTACTATTTAGGGATTGCAGTGTTACTGTGCGTGTATATTGGGATTGAACACGTAAGTAAATACATTGTAGATAAGAAGAGTAAGATTCATTATTGTCAAAGGAAATGGTTACAAATGAAAAAATGAGAAAAGTTACATGAAGGTGTGGCACTGGATTAAAATCTGAGGTATGATACACTAATGCCTTCTTAGTATATATGCAGACAGAAGGAATTATATGGAAATAAATATAGATGTGTTTGTATGCATGAGTATACATACATATATTTCCTGTTGATGTCTGCTCAAAGCACCTAAATACAATGAAACTCAAGAAGCAATGGAAACTCTTAATACCTAGATCTTGCTTTCTAATGCTGCTCTCCAATCAAAGATACTGCAACTCATCTGATAACTAGAATCCAGAGTTGTTGTAAGGAAAAGACAGGATTATCCTGGAGCATCTTGTGGTTCCAGAAAGAAAGTATTCAAAAATGTTAACACTACTCATCTATGGATACTGAAAATTAGTGGATAAATGTTTGAGGAGAAACCAGAACATTTTAAAATAGTTTCCTGAGATCTTTATGAATTACAAAAGAAAAAAATAGCAACTTTACCCCAGAGAAATGGGGTCATCATCACCTAATCAAGTGCTCAATGTTAATATCGCCATTCATAAGATATGATGAACGTCATGTTCCCCTTATATGATAGCCTGAGAAAGTATATCATGTCTGTGTTATTCCTGCCAAAAATATGTAACCTTAGTCTAATCATGAGAAAGCATCAGACAAACTGAGAGACACTCTATCAAATAATTGACCAATACTCTTCAATAGCATCAAGGTCTTGAGAGACAAGAACATTGAGGAATTGTGGAGGAGACTAAGGACACAGGAAAATGAAAGGCAATATTGGATTCTAGATTAGATTGTGAAAGAAAAAGAGTGGAAAAAACTGTGAAATCCAACTGTAGTTTGTAGTTTGATTAATTACATTATAGCGATTAATTTATTAATACAATTAAAGTTTTATATAAGATTTTAACATTAGAAAAAGCATGTAGAAATCCTGTGTGCTATTTTTGCAATATTTCTGTAAGTCCAAAATTATTTTAAAATGTTTTTAATTGGATTAGTGGGAAAATTCCAAATTTTTAATTTTGCTGAGGTGATGATGGAACATATCTAAGTAAGGCAGCTGTTTACATATTTATGAATTTTCTGATGTTTGTCTCCCTAGTTTTAAAAATGGGAAAAATATGTATGTATTTTACATATATGTAAAGTTTAACTAAAACCTCAAAGCCAAACAAATTTTGTCCAGTGAAGGTGGAGTGGGGGAGAAAAATTTACATAACGAGAATTTGTGTTTCTAAAAATGGTTAAGAAAAATGATACATATTACACATCATTGCTTATATCACATCCTAGAAGGCTACATATATTTTTATTTGTTTTAATTAATTAATGAGACCTGAACCAATTATTGTTTATGTGGCTCTTCTTCCTAAATTCTAACAGTTGCGCATTAAACTATTAAAGACTATAACATCCTATCAAACTTTAAATGGGCTTTATGTGCAATGACATTTTACAGAAATAGGATTAGATGTTTAATTCAAAATAACAACTGTTAAAACACTGTATAATTTTGTCAACAAATCTATTATGTGTGAAATGCAACCACTTCAGGATATTTAGGGAAAATACTTATAAATATTTTAAATGGGGGTACAGTTAAAACTGAACCCCTCTAAAGTTTAATTATTTGTAATTTCTATTGAATCCTTATCTGAATACCAATCTACAAAGTAGTATAATGTTTTTGGAAACTTTTGAACTCAAAATTAAAATATTCTCATCTTTGCCATATAATTATGGCAAACTTCGATATCTCATCAAAGTCTTCAGGAATATACATGCAATGATAAGCCATTACTGTACCCTAGTTATTATTACTCTTTAATTTTTATTATTAATTATTTCCATGTAGATGAGATACGCTGAGTATTTCAAAGTCTTCTTTCATTGTGGAGGTGGAGGTCATTTTTCAGTTTTTGTTTTTTTTTTTAATGGGGGAAATTTGTAACTTGGCTTTCTTCGATGCACAATCTAAAAGCACATTAGAACTACTATATTTTACTTTTGTTTTACGTGTATATATATAAAACATATATAATATGAAAAATATATATAATATATAATAAATACATATGATGTAATATATCACATATATACATACATACATAGATATGTAATATATAATAAAACATACATGTATATTACATATATGTTACATATGTTATAAAATATGTAATGTATAAAATGTAAAATATGTCATATATAATGTATTGTATATATGTTTTACATTATATATATATATAAAAAAAATCTTTTGGATTCCTGATTCCAGATTCCAGTTTTCAGAAGTCTTTCAGATTTGCCAAAAGAATTAAAAGTCTATCTACTATATAGACTTTACTCTTTATCAAATGTACTTTTTAAACAAACAAAAACATTTGTTAAATATCAAGTCAAGTAATTGTAGTAAAATGAACAGATTTGCAAGCAACACCTGTGACGTAAGAAAGAGATCAATACTAGTCTAGGCTGAAGATGTGTTTTAATTTATTTCATAGAAAAAAAAGATTCACAATCATTAATTTTTACCCCACTTATTTGCATTTCTCTTCATTTCCCAAATGGCTTTTGACATTATTTTAAAGTCATTAATCTATTAACATTCTTTTTTGACATGAGAATGAGTGACGTGTGTTTACAGTTAGCATCCATCAATTGAAATCTAAAGTCAAGTTACATTTTTTTTTTCTATCTCCACTGAGTTGAATCTTAAATACAGGAATATACTATTTTAAAAGTTGTTCAGTATTATATATTGGCTATATAGGGCATGCACTGAATAAGACATCTTATTGCTTAAAGACTATTATGTAACACTGTTATGTAGACAGAATAAAAACACTAAGGTATACTTTCCTTTTGGTTCAGGTATTCTATTACTAGGAGCAAAGTGTTCAATATCGATGATAATGGTACAATCACTACAACTAACTCACTGGATCGGGAAATCAGTGCTTGGTACAACCTAAGTATTACAGCCACAGAAAAATGTAAGTACTCATTTGAGATCCAATACAGTTGTTTGCATATTTCGTAAATAATTACACAATTTCTATACATGGAGACAAGGCTGCTTTAAAATGTTGTTGGAATTATTTAAATGACATTCAATGTAAATGTGTGTACTTGTGTATTTTATTAGTTTTATTAACATCTGCTTATTACTATTATTCCAGCTTATTTATGTGCTTACCACTAAATACCTTCTAAACTGTTATTTTCTAATTATAACAGTAAATAGTTTTTCATACCAACGTAAATTGAGGAAACCACAAAATATAAGTGAAATTCACCTGAAATTCTGCTTGTTTATTTAGGCAGATGGTTTCGTTTTCGGTTTGTAAATTATTCTGATTTACCACTTAGATATTGTCCTTAAAATTATGAATCAGTGACTCATGCAATTATATTGTTTAAATCTTAAAGAAATCAATATAACACAATATAAAATATCAAAGTCATTTCCATTACTTAGTCAATAGATTTAGAATTGTAAAGTATTAAAATTGTGAATAGAAAATATTCTCAGATGCATCTTATAGCTGGTTTTACATAGAATTTTAATGATCGTGGTTCCTTTCTTCACTCTTTGTTGAGGCGGGAAGCATATATTTCTGTTTTCCTTACTTTGTTAGGCAGATGGCAGGTGATATGGTGGAGTGGAAGGCATCTCCGTGTGTTTTTTGCAATACAATGAACAGTTCTATGGAAACACTGTAGGAGAGCTGGAATCTGGGTTTTCAAGGTTCCATTTAACGAAACCATAAAACGAAGCAAATGTTACAATGGAATAAATGCCCACTGCACTAGAGGAAATGTCAAGGCTTCTCATGTCAGAGAACGCAAAGATGTTTATTTTAAATGCAGCTTTTATTCTTCGCTTATTTCTGAGAGCAATTTTTTTTTTTTTTTCATTTTAAGGAAAAACTTGCTGGAACGAGCTTTTATAACACTGGATAACAAATTTTCATTTTTTTCCTTCTCTAACATTTTTAAAAATTCTACATCATTAAGCCCATTTTAGCTCTATTTGAGGAAAATATGTGTAACTGCCATTTTTTTACTATCATGAAATCAATACTGAACCAAAAATAATTAGGCTTGACCATTTAAGCTTCAATAGCAATATAAACAAACCACCTAACCAGTGGAAAACAGGGCATTACATACAACTGTTTTAAAAATCACCTGGCTGCATATGCTAACTCCCTTGAAAAGCGTTCACCATAACAATTATACTGATTATGGGAAAGAGATGTTCCATTTGAACTTTTTTTTTTCCAGCAAATGAAGTTCATTGTGCTTAGTCTCTTTTCTGGAAAGCTTCCCCAATTAAGCACAATGCTATTTATCAGTATGCCAGCTAAGTGAATAAAACTACTAACTATTTTAAAGTGAAGCTGTGAAGTTTTATATTCATTTTGTACAGTAATACCAAAGATTTAATTTGAACTTAATTTCAAGCAAAGTTTAGGAACACAAAGATAAAAACATTAAATGAATTTCTTATTAATTTTCTGTCAGTTTATTCACGACTGAATTATGTTATAGAATTTAATTACTTAAGCAAAAAGATATTCTGTGATGATGTATGTGCTAAAACCATAACAAATATGAACCTTAATTTTCTGATTAATTTCTTCTTGAAATCTTTAGAAATATCTTTTCATTTTTAAATGTTCCATTAATCTATTTTCATCCTAAATGTCACACAGTAGAGAAAAGTCTCAAAATGATAAATACTAATGGTTGCTGTATTTCTTAAAGGCCATGGATGTGTGTGTGTGTGTGTGTGTGTGTGTGTGTAATAAATCCTAGAAATTTTAATTTTTAATTAATTGAAAATTACAATTTCTATCTTAATCATAACTGTTATTGTTGGGAAAATACAAAGTACAGGCAAAATCTCATCTCAGGCCAGAAAACCTCTCCTCAAAGGTAGAACAGAGATAAAAATTTTATTACTGGAAAACATTAAAACGCAATGTGATGTGCATCATAGGAAATCTAAGAGATTGCCAAAATGGAAAGAAATCTCACCTTTTTATGTAGTTGAGCAGATACAATCCACTATTTACATGTTCTCAAGTTAAACGTTATCTAGACGTTCAAGTATGAGGACTTAGCACTATTTGTCACATAGAATTCATTCTATCTTCACTGGGTAGTTGGAGTGACTGCCTATGTTTGCTAAGTGGTTTTATCCAAAGGATAACTTAACTTTTCATGTCTTTATGACAAGAGGTAGTTGTGCAACTTAGTACAAGATCGTTGCTAAAATGGGTCTCCTATCCTTCCACAAAAACTAGGATATAGGGATGCCATATTCCTTGAAGATTACATTTCAAAGAAATGGTCACCATTACTTGAGAAATACAATCCTGGATCCTAAAGCTTCCAGGAAACTTATTGAACTTTTGAAAGATTTCCATACACTTCAAAAAGACAATGAAAAAACTTACATACAAAGCTTTTTTCCCCCCTCTCTTTCTCTTTCTCTCTCTCGCTCTGTGTGTGTGTGTATGAATGCTCTGAGAAAAGGAAGGAAAGAAAAAAGATTTTCTCTTGCTTTCAACAAGAACCAGGCCTCTAATTTTTAATTTGTATTGTTCTTTCAAATTATCATTACAAATAGTACGTGTATTTTCAATAAAAACACTAAGACAAACTAAAGAATCCCACCTCTATACCCTTTAATTGTATGCACCTTTCCCATAGCTTTCTTTCTTTCTTTCTTTTTTTTTTTTTTTAAGAAAAAGAGAAGTCCTGTGTGATGACTTATGCCTGTAATTCCAGCACTTTAGGAGGCCAAGGTGGGTGGATAACCTGAAGTCAGGAGTTCGCGACCACCGTGGCCAACATGGCAAAACCCTGTCTCTACTAAAAATACAAAAATTAGCCAGTCCTGGTGGCATGTGCCTGTAGTTTCAGCTACTAGGGAGTCTGAGGCAGGAGAATTGCTTAAGCCTAGGAGGTGGAGGTTGCAGTGAGCTGAGATCCTGCCACTGCACTACAGCCTGAGAGAGAGAAAGATTAACAACAATAAAACTACACAATATAATAGCTGCAACTTACTTTTTTCAATACACAAAATACATGTCTGGTTAGTAGATATAACAAAACAATCATATTTAATATTCATTGTTCAGTTATGTGCTAAGTAGTCTTAATTGCTTTATGTATGTTAACCAATTTATGTAATTGCTTCATGTAATTTACATAATTGCTTTATGTATATGTTTAATCTTAACAACAGCCTATAAGGCAGTTAATACTATCACGCCCATTTTTCAGAATGCCAACTGAGGCATTCTGGTTAAGTATTTTTCTCCAATTGAGAACCAAGATTCAAACTCAAGTCATCCAATTTTAAGCTCACAATAAAAATGTGTTACATTGACTTACTCTTTTATCTGAGACAGGGTTTCACTCTGTAGCCCAGGCTGGAGTGCAGTAGCCCGATCACAGTTCACTGCTGCCACAACCCCCTGCTCATGCGATTCTCCCACCTCAGCCTCCCAAGTAGCTGAGACTACAATGTACACTACTACACTCAGCTAATTTTTTGGATTTTTATTAGAGATGAGGTCTCATTATATTGCTCAGGCTGCTCTAGAACTCCTGAGTTCAAGTTATCCTCCTGCCTTGGCCTTCCAAAGCACTGGGATTTAGAGGTGTGAGTCACCATGCCTGGCCAGACTCACACATTTTTAATAAATCCACATAATGTTATAGTCCAGTTGTAATTTAGTCTCCCTAATTCTTTTTCGTTGTACATTTGAGTCATTTATATAATTTGGATGTGATACAAATAACTCTGGAATGTATTTAAGTGGATTATTTACTCAAATACTGATACCTTAGACTGTAGCTTAAGTTTAACAGATTGGGTCACAAATATGTGTAGTTTAAATTTCATTATCGATTGCTAGAGTCGGTTTACACTGTTATTTTTCAGCCCTCAGTCATCACTGGGTGCTGTTTTATCACATATGACACAAATGGCACGGGCTTAACCATCATTCTTCTTACCTGTGGTGAGAGGCTGTGTGAAGGTTATGATAGCGCAATGTGTCTCAACTGCAGGCCATTTGGCCCAACACTTCTGCTGCCAGCTTCAACCAGGGCACACTGACAATGTCTGAACACAGTCTGGATTGACACACTGGGGTAGGAGGGATGCTGCAGACATTTGGGGAATAGAAGTCAGGGATGCCGCTAAGCATCCTACAATGCACAGGAGAATCCCCCAAAACTAGGAATTATCCAGTCTAAAATATTAATAGTGATGGCAGTGAGAAAGTCTGCTATCAGATAAATTGAATTTTCTCTCCTGTGAATTCTTAGTTCATACTTTTTTCTGAAATGTCTTTTTTCTATATCAGGTTGAAGGATTTAAATGTTTTTATCACAATTTCTTCTCATTATGTTTTTTGGATTTTTTGGCTCACTTAGAAAATCTTCTCAATTCGATGTTTATATAAAAACTTTATTTAGATTTTTTATAACGATTTTACTTTAAAATACATTTAGATTCTAATTATTTGTTTTTAAAAGCTATACTCTAAATTTCAGTGGTTCACAGAATTGTTATTTTTGTTATAGCACTGCAGCTATAACCTTACACATGTAATTTAACTGTAATTTTTGAAACTAAATGGTTTATCAACTTTTTTATCAGTAAAATTGGGGAGGATAATAATCCATGTATTGATCAAGATTAAATGAGTTAATACAAAACTTTAAAACTTTAAATGGTTCCTGGACTCTTGCAAGCTCTCCGTATACCCTTATTTTACTTTATCTTTTTACTACTTTTTCTCATCACTTATTACAGCCCATGGCAAGTATAATGCACCCAATAAATATTGCTTGGTTTGAATATATTAGCACAGAATTTTTTTCTAGGATCTATTGCTGATAAATAGGTGAATCATATAGATATCCTGTCCTCAGATTGCTTTTTTCAAGTAAAATAAAAATACACCATATAGCCTCTAATGTAATTTTAATGATGTATCTTCTAAAGACATATTAAAATATGTTAGATTTTTATTATATATATTCAAATTGCAGACAATATAGAACAGATCTCTTCAATCCCAGTGTATGTGCAAGTTCTTAATATCAATGATCATGCTCCTGAGTTCTCTCAATACTATGAGACTTATGTTTGTGAAAATGCAGGCTCTGGTCAGGTAAGGACTCGTTATAAATTTCAAAGTCTAAACCATATATCATTGTTTCATAATATGTAATTGTTTCATATATTATACAATATTGTTATATAATACATATCATTAACATATTTAATATTCATATATTATAATTTATATAATTATTGTAATTCTATATTATATATACAAATTATATATAAATTAATCTTTATAATATATAATTTTTGTTATGCATTCATCTTATTTAAAACATCAAAAATTAATTTTATTCTATTTATATTAATTACATGCTTTTATGTTGTGAGCTTTGTATAATATTTTATTTTAATTTTTAAAAACATGCAAATTTCAAGTTTTCTACTTTCAAATTCCTCAAATGTTTTTAAAAATCTGCTAACGATAGTGATTCAGTAGTTTACTTTTATAGTATATTTATTATTCAGTAGTTCATTTATACTTTGTCAAACAATTAAGAAAAAAATTCTATAGGTTACATAGTCACATTTAAGTTTCTTTTTATTTTTTTATTCATCATGCAGGTACAGGTAAAATGAAATATAAGCATAAACATATGGAGGGAAAATATGCCAAAATGTTTTTTCATAGCATTTAATCACTATACCAGGTATAGCAACACAAATAAAACTGAGTTTTATACAAATTACTAGATATGTAAACATTTGTGAGAACATACTCATTTTGAAATACATTATCATTACTTCACAATTTATTTATTTCACACACTTTCTTACCTGCTGCTCACTGTTTTATTTGTAAAATGTGAAACTTAAATTAGAATGAAACTTAAATTAGAATGTTATTTGTGTACTTCTAAGCTCCAGTACATAATAAACTAACATAATTATGAGGTTTCTTAGAGCACATAGAAGACTATTAAATACCACAGGCTGCTTTTCTTTAAAAAATGTCCAATAATGTTCAAAAATTTTACAGTCTGGTGTTCATGATACTAAATAGGTATACAGACACTATCAACTCAGTTATTCTAAGTAGCTTTGAATTTATCAACAAAGCTAGTCAGGGACCATTTGGAGTTTACAAAAGCAGAAATTATATTTCTCTTTCAATAAATGTTAGTAACCAAAGTTATATTTGATCTTCAATTTCCTACTATGCTGAGGAATAGGCATATCTTAAGAAATAGGTACATCTTAACTTTTACTGATTATTAAACTGCAACATAGTGAAAAGTGTCAATATTTCTTGAAATGATTGTGAATTTCATTAAGCTATGTGTGTTTTTGAATATGATTTCACTGGAAATAATGATCAAATCTTGCCTATAAATATTTTCCAAAATGTTTTTGAAAGCAGTAATAGAATTGTTAAAAATATACAAATGACTTAAAAAATTTAAAGCACTCATTTCTAATGGGTTAGAACCCAAGGATTTGGGGACAGTAAAAGGTGGATATAAAAACTTCAGAGGCTCTCTATTGTGTTGCACTTTCCCTAGAACTAAAATTGAACTGTTTTAGAAATGTATGGACATACAGTATAGGATAGAAGAGATCACAAAAACAGAATGAACGTGAACTTGGACCCATGGCTCCTCCAGAAATTCGGCTTAGACATTTTTCTTCAAACCTGGTGCTATAAGTAGATTATATATTTATAAATTGGATGTATCTAATATTCTCAAGAATTTCAAACACATCTGGTTACTTAGACACATTGACCAATATAACAAACAACTTTAAAATAATAACATGTAAATCTAATAAATGATACTTTAAATGTGGCATGCCAGTTTTCTTAAAATAATTTTTGACATGATGAATTTTATAATTTTCTAATAAATGTATATTAAATTTACATATTAGATGTAACATATTTCTAGAATTATAACTAAAATTATGGTTTATATTTATGATTATATTTCATATTTTGAGTACTAGTAAATTATTTCATTCATTTCATGTACATGTGAAGTGTACATATGAATGTATTTAGATTATCCATTGATTAGATAGCCTGTTTTTAAACTTCAAAAAAAAATAGGCTTAATTTGCTGTATCTTCTATACACCTATTTCTGTAAATGTCCCATGTGGTAAGTATGTTAACTGAACAAAGTTTTGTGTTTTATATATATATATATATTTTTTTTTTTTTTTAGTTTTTGAGCTGGAGCTTCGCTCTTGTTACCCAGGTTCGAGTGCAGTGGCCTGATCTTGGCTTACTGCAACCTCCCTGTCCCGGGTTCAAGCGATTCTCCTGTCTCACCTCCCGAGTAGCTGAGATTACAGGCGAACACCACCATACCTGGCTACTTTTTTTTCGTATTTTTAGTAGAGATGGGTTTTTGCCATGTTGGGCAGGCTGGTCTCAAACTCCTGATCTCATGATCCGCCTGCCTCGGCCTCCCAAAGTGATAGGATTACAGGCGTGCGCCACCACTCCTGGCCGTTTCTGTTTAACATTTTTGTATTTTCCTCAATATATAACTAGATTTATGACAGCAGAGACTCTTGATGATTTTATCCATAGTTATATATGTATGCACATACAGTGATTATAATATGAAAAGTATTCAATTCTATGCTTTCAGAAAAATATATTTTACATGCAACCTGGAAAAACAATTTTACATGTTTTGTAAATATGATAAAATAAGCAAAAATGACAATGCTAACCATATGGATATAGTTCAAAAGAGAATTAGTAAGTAGTATTTGTTAGTTATACTAAAAAACTCAATATATATATATGTATATGTGAGTGCACCAATATACAATAGGTATTTTAAAATTTTTATTTGTAATTCATTCAATTTTTAAGTTGCCATACACATATACATACATACATATATATACACACACACAAACACACCCCTATATATACACACACACACACACACACACACACATATATTTATATATACAGTAATAAAACTAATACTTGGAAAACATCCCTGATGTTGAAGTTATCTTTATAACACTTATTCAAATATTGCTGGACACATATACGCAGTGAAAATAGAAATGAAACTAAAAGATGGTGTGCCAGTCCTCTTTTGTATCTTTTCCAAAGTTGATGTAATACTTTGAGCAACACAATTTTAAAAAAGAATGATGAAATAGTGTAGATGTATTCAATTATTGTCATCTTCACACAAACTTTCATTACACAAATTTTCAAATTACATGTCTTTTAAATGTAGATGTGGAAAAAAATTATGAGAAATGATGAAATAACTCCTTGGATGATGACATAATCACGAAAATGTTTAAGACAACTATCTTGACAATATTCAAGGCATTTAAAACCACCATGTTACTAAGTTTCCATAATGTATCAATATTTGTTTATTCTTTAACAACCTGTATAACAACCACAAAAATGCAATACCATTATCTACAAATAGAACTGATCGAAAGGAAACTCAAATGCTAATGTTTATTGCAATGTATTGTAAAAGTATTCTCAGTTTTAAACTCTACTGAGGAAAAGAAATATCTATTGGGTGTAATGGCATAGAGTTTTCTTGTGCCCTGTTTAAAGTATAAGTGTAAAACTTTATGGAAAAAGCTATGAAATAAAATACAGTTTATAAATTTACATATATGTATACTACGATTCAAAAGTTTAGGTAACTTAGGTAACTTTCTCAACATCATATAATGTAGCAATATGTAAGACAGAATTAAAATTTATGTCTGTCTCCAAGAATGATAGTGATTTTAACCCCGTATTCCATGCTAATCATAAAGACTAGCTCTCTTTATGCGCACAATTAAAAATGTGAAAAACAGCTTTTTCTGTTTCTCTATTCAGAAAGAATGCTATTTACGATTTTAAGGGCAAAAATAAAAGGAAGGTCAATTTGACTGATCCCAAACTCCTTCCTGGGATATGCATTCCTCAAACGGAAAATAAGGGACGTTGGTCAGCCCTATTTCACAATTTTCCTTAAGGAGTAATGTCACACATCATGAAACAATTATTTTGGAACATGCAGATGTCACTATCAAATTCTGGAAGTCTGTCTCCATCCTATAAGCATCTGAAAAAATGATACATGGCTACCTGTCATGTTCCTCCACTTAAATCCAGGGAGAAGCCAACAATTTCCTCTCACTCTGCTGTACACATGATAGTTTATGAATTGAAATCAGTGGACATATGGTTTGAGTGCTGTCAATGTATATAACATTATAGTAGATACTTTCTCATATATTAAGATTCCTTGTTTTAATAATCCAGGAATTATGGCTATCACAAGCACATGACTGTCGTGTTTCCTCCAATGTTGGTCATAGAATTAGACTGACTTGGGTTCAGGTTTCTGATTTGAAATTCACTAGGTAGGTTGCTGTTCATACAATTAAAACCAAACACCTCACATTAATATATGCCTCCCAAAGTGCCACTAAAACTTTTTAAAGTGTTGTTAATCTCTTACTCCTTTCTAGAAGTGAAATATTAATGTATGAATACTAAAACCAATGAAGCAATCTCTAAAAAAAAAAAAAATGCTTTCAAAGATAATAAAGCATAGCTCATGTAACTGAAATGGTGTGCATGTGAACCATAATTATTTTAATGCAATATCTCTGTATAAGTAGTTTTTTTAAAATTATTACAAAGGGTAGTAAAAGTTATTTGATTAGGTTCACTGTAATCTTAACAATAATATTAAGTGGTGCCGATAAGGAAACTCACAAGAGCATTCTATTTAGAAGTAAACAGAGAAACTGTTTAAAAGCAAGGAATAGTTAATCAGCAAAATAAGGAAATGTCTACACCATTAGAACACAAATTGTTAAATATATGTGTCACATAAATTAAATAATGTAAATTCTGGATTAAGCCAAGAGAAAATCCAAAACCAGTATATACTTTCTTAGATTTCAAGCAGGGAACTTGGTGGCACAAACAAAATAGAAAAACGCTTTGACAGCTCTCCACCTTACAATGAGAACAAGATAATAAAGAGAAAGGTGGTACCTTCTTTTTTTTTTTTTTGAGACGGAGTCTCGCTCTGTCGCCCAGTCTGGA